CCGAATATCGTGACCGTACGTCGAGCGGTTAGATTTGTGCCCAACTGTTGACGGACGGACGGACGGACGCTCGGACGGACGCTCGGACGGACGCTCGGACGGACGCTCGGACGGACGGACGATCATGCGATTCTACAAGCTGCATCTGACTATGTCAGATGAGCTAAAAACCAAAGTAATTTTAATACTTACAGTCTGGTCTATATCCTATACTCAGAGGTGTCCTCTTCACTAGCAGGCTAAGTGACACAACACAAAAACAACCAGTTTATATAGCTCATCTATTAACACCATGGATGATTTTATTATTGATTTTAAATGTTTTTTATTATAATTGTATTTGTTTCTCACCAAATATTTAATCTAGAGCACAGAATCTAGGTATATATAACTAATCTAGATTAACATCAACTGAGCTATTTTTCTCTATAAAGGAAAGGAATGCCAGAACCACAGCAGGAACGTTTTTTTGCACACGAGAGTTTATCGACTCGCTACTTGCACAACTAACTGCTGTAATTTTAAATAACGTCATTGCATTTTAATTTGCATAAAATCAAATCAATATCAAGGTTTTTAGATTAACTTCTACATCGGACATATATCAGCACACCCTGCAGGCTGCTTATGACTTCTGAAGTACATTCTGTGTACCCATGTAAGTGACAGAAAACTCTGTGTGGAGCTAAAGTACATTTTACAACCTAAGCATACATAGCTAACACACAAACTGATAATATTATAAACTTACTAGCATTGCTATTTACTGTTTTAGGCTAAACTATTTCATGTTTTAAGGTTTTTGTTTAAAACCATAGCATACTACTGGCATATACCTGGCAACGCTGACAGACTTCGGGTTGTGTTCGTTAAGAAGCTCAAGTAGTTTCTCCATGGTTCGCCCAGTGTCTATGATGTCCTCTACCACCAGCACATGCTGCAATGAAATGAGACAAGGCCATGCAATCTAAGCTTAAAATAGAAGCACTAAGCAAATCTAACAGCTTAAAACTATACACTTATATGACGTTACAGTTACATAATCATGGTTGTGTAAGCTTACTGTGATAACTATTGTGAATTGCAGCAGGTATGATAAATGCAGCTGAAACTACATAATTTGAAATCTACCATTATTTAGGTGAGCAGATATTTTTTATTTAATAGAAAACATGAAAGTTGAGAACACTAGAGATGATGTGTAATGCTGAAAACTTGATTACTTTTCCATAAACATGTAAATTATGAGAAATTATGAAAAAAAATGTCCAAAACTTCACGATCCAGACCCAAGAAGAGGGGTATTATACCCTTTACCACATACCCGGCCCTTCAGGCTCCTTAGATGATCTCCGCCAATTACCTCGATATGACCCGTTGATTGATCATCCTAGTGTGAAAAAAACACATGGTTCCAATGTGAGTCGCTCAATTAGGCTTTGCCAATTTACAATTCATTTTAACTACAATTGACTTCTCATGCTAATTCAAATTCTACTGGATTGAAGTTATTGTGTTATAAGAGGTCGTAACCAATTCAGTGTTATAGTTTTAAACAGCTAAGAAAGAGCCAATATTATGCATCAAGTGATATCCTCGTGCTAACATGGGCTATTCAATTGTACTTTAAAATTGCACAAATGGTAATTTGGCAACAAGACTTAGGAATTAGTGAGACATCAATGGTTGTAATTAAATATGGTACATTCAATTAATAATCTCAAGTCTAACTATAAATTTACAGTGAACTATCTGCATTTGACATTAATTTAATTGAACTGTGAAGCACAATATCTTCTAAACAGCAAACTTTAATAAAAAATTGTATATAAATTTGGTTTTTGGTCTTACCTACTATATATATAAATATATAGTAGTATCAGGACTACACCGATAATGCACGGTTTACGATAAAGATACCTCAACCAACATATAGTTATTGGCTCGTTATGAGAACAAATAATCCCGATGGAAGACACTTTAATTCTCATGTGACATATTTATCTGCACTCTGCTCAGCCCATCCTCACATAGTTCCTTTGCATGTTGTTAATCTCGGGCAACATTATAATCAATGATGGCAGCAGTTTGATCAAACTTACAATGTCATTGATAATTAAATTAGTATTAAAAAAAAATTATAGTCAAACATTGAGCTATTTTAGCTATTATATGACACATCCAAACCAGGGCAACCTTAGGGTAAAGCAAAGCACCTTTGCGTTTCGGAGGTGCCGCTCAAAACACGAGCATATACATCAGGAGTACATAATAGGTACCTGTATACACCATGCAAGCATGCACCATACGTTTTTTTATCCTGATACCTGTTTTAGTTCAAAAGGTGCATGTTATGTTATGTCGATGGGTATATACTTGCGGAGCGGAATAAACTTTGAATAAGGAACGCCGACACAGTTAATTGTTTCGCACGCTTCATTAACTGACATTGTATGTATGTATGTGTGTATGTATGTAGGTTTATGGTTGTTTCATGAACGCGGTATTTTGTTCATGATATATATGCTTGTGACCGTTTTTGTGTGTGTGTGGAAAATCGTTTCTTTAATTTGTGCTAACCAGTGACGGTACGTTTCCACTATATTGTTAGACCGCTGGACACATTCTTCAATCAGGGTTTGATATAGGCCTAAAACATTTCATCGACAATATGAAATCACTTTTGCGTATTTTTGTTGGTTGTACGATGTGTACGATGTGTGGAAGTGACAAAGGTTGTCAGGTCCACGTCGGTGCTGTGTATTAAGGCCCTGTGTGCCTGGGCTGTGTGCCCTGGGATTATGAGGATATTTTGCCATAATCAGGCTTCTGATATAAGGAAGCACATGGCTTGAAACGTGGTTTCGGTAATGCGTGTTGGTATACACGCATTCGCCACGTACGTTACAGCCATAAAAATACGCATGAGTGAAATTACGCATATGTAATTTGGCAGCGATATCAGAATGTTCATGCCAAATGTGTTGAGTTTCTGATTTCTATTGTGGTAGACTTTTATCGTTACTTGTTTTCTACGCTTCATATGTGATCTCTTATTGTATTTTGATTGTTGTTATGTGTATCTGTGTATCGATGTTGTATTATAGTGGTCATATGGATTTTTGTTCAAACTGTATTTTTGTATTGACGTATCATTTATTGAGTATATTAATTGGTGTTCGGTGAAAGAGATATTGTATTAGTATAGTAAGGGTACGAGCAATTTTGGGTAATGTTGGATTGTCTAATAGCCAGGATGAGAGACAGGTGTGCGTGTGTGTGCGCGTGCGTGTGCGTGTGTGTACGTAGGGTGGATTAAGATTAGGGTGTATTTTAGATTAGCGAGGACGCTAAAGTCAATGGCTTATAGAAGCCATCGTCTTCGAGGAAAGGGAGGTAATGTAAAGTATGGTTTGCAGATGGTAAAATAGTAGTTGTGTTTAGAAATGTCGCGACAAGGGGTTACATTATGTGTTGGTCGGCGGTAGCGTGGTTGTTGTAGTATGGATGATGGAGATGCGAAACGGTTGAGAGGGAGTTGTTGTACATGTGTGCAGCATATGTCGGTTGTCTGGGCGCGAGCCGACGTTCTTTGTTATCTAGAAATGTATAAAGGGGAAGGTTCTTGGTTGTGAGTGAGATCGGACGGGAGTGCGCGAGGCACGCGTCTGCATGCCTCTGTGCGAGCATATGTGGTTTGAGAAACAATATACTATTTTGCTGAACACTACTGCTTGGAGTTTGGAGTTTCAATATTCATCGCTACAACCGATCTACATTTAAACGGGTAACGTCATCTTCGTCGTTACATTTCGTCATTAATCCCTATTATGTACTCCTGATATACATGGTGCGAAATTAACGCGAGTCCGGAGTCAAATACTCCCTGATTTACTGTCGGACTCCCTGATTTGACATATATGTAAATTCTGCTATACTAACTAGTTCGTTCCAGAGCATGGCCTCCTCATTATTCCCACGCAAAATTACGGTATTTTTTCAGCAAATGTCCAAAGAAAATTTGGCAGACGTGCAACCGCACGAATCTTCAAAATAAGCACATGTATGCGTTATTGTTAATATCTTAAGTTTTGAACTTCAGACTGCGGACTCCCTCATTTTTCCGCAGACTCCCTCTTTTTGAGGGCAGGGAGTCAGTTGGACCCCCTTGTTCAAAAGTTAATTTCTACCCCTGATATATATTGATATAGATCTATACAGTATAGTTTCGACATGCATGTGGAAAAACGCACCAATTTAGGTACATATATATACATGTATACTACTAAATACTAAATTCTAATTCATGTAGCTGACATTTTTTTAAATATCTAAACTTGGACTGCTATAATGATTTTTTAAATTGCACACCTACTTTATAATAAGAGGGTGTAATACCCCCGTCACACCAGGCCCCGATCTCACTACGCTCGTACTACGCTCTAAGAGTCTGGCAGTTCAATGACGTTGCGCGTGATCGCGATTCGTAGCGCGGGTGCATCGTCCACCTAAATGAGCGTGAGTGTTCGCTCAAATTTTGAGCATGGTTCATAACGAATGCGTGGTGTCGCGAGCGTGTGGCGGAAAAACAGCGCAGTGGCGGACGTGTATTTTAGAGACCGTGAAGGCGTAGTTACTCTTCACGTAACTTCGATTCGCGGTCACAACGAACTTAATGATCGTGATCGCAAAGCATCGGCGTGCCCGTGACACAGTCCTTGTCTCGCGCCTGTTCTCAGCAAACGGATGTCCAATACGTTTTCATTCATTATCGCTGTTTCACCTCCTACGAGTTTTTTTTTTTTTTGTTTTCCATTTTGTATATTTGTCTCTGGCGGACTTTTTTGACCATACTTGCTCTTATTTTCGCTATGGCCATGGTTGCGTCTCTATGCAAAGCTCGATTCCCGTTCGTATACTGATTTGTACTACGTCGTCAACACGCTGCAGACCCACGCCGTTTGTGGCGTTCGCATTACGTGTTAGTTGCGTCAATACCACGGCTAGGATCACGTTCCATGCGAAACTATTGGGGTATAAAATTGGGTTGGTCTACTCATGGCCACTCTCCTACCATTCAGGTTGTCCACTATTGGATGCAAGGCAAGCACTACTCCATGCCAATGTTTCTTCTGTAGAAGGACAACTCGGAATTACTTCGATTCGCCCAACGTCCCCTCAACATCTTGAGGAGGTATAGGAGGAGAAATAGAAGATAATATGTAGAAAATAATTCTTGATGTGAACAGCACGGCAGATACGAATGATGATGTCTAGAACGCGGCGCGGTATTTATATGGTCGTTGCCAGCGCAGTCGGCGCCTGCCTAGAGCGTGATGAAGTCGCACTAGGAGCGTGACTTGCGCGCAGTTGAGGCGCGGTGAGCGTTGCTTAGGCGCAGTGAAAGCGTCGTTTTGAACGCAATGCGATCGGATTGGTCGCAATAAAGACGCAGCGGGCGCAGTGCAAGCGTGATGCGGGCGTGGTGTTGAGCGTGGTATAGAGCGTGGTGAAAGCTTATCACGTATACGAACACCAAAGGTCACTGCTCCCCTAGTTAATCCTGACCAATAACTCAAAGTTAAGATTGCATCTTAAGGCTATATTTAAATGTCACCTGATAGCTACTCTGGCAATACTATTAGAAAGAACATATTAAGCATTTTCCAGTATTCAAAATAATCAACAATACAGTTCCTCACTAGGTCAATGATACACATCATGAACAAAGTTTCAACTTGAACTTGAAGTTGTATACATTTATACTCCCAGCACGGGGTATGGTTGTTGGCCTTACTCTAACTAGCCAGCAAATAGTGCAGTGGAGTACCGATACCTACGGATGCTGCCAACTAAAGCCAATCAGAACAACGTGGCTTACTTAAGGTCACTTGAGTTTCACCAAGTTAGAACTCTAACCCCAGACCCCTTAGACCAGTGGTTCTTAACCTTTTTGAGTCATGGACACCTTGGAGAATCTGGTGAAAGCTATGGACCCTTCCCCAGAAAATGCACATAAGCACATAAACGCAGAATTTTGCATACAATGGGGTTCACGGACACCCTGAATCCCATCTGCGGACCCCAAAGGGGTCCATGGAGCACAGATTAAGAAACCCTGCTTTAGACTGAAGTTCTATGTGCAAACCATGCTCTGCTCATGTGACACTGCTCCTCTCCTCCAAACCTTACCAAAACCACTTCCCCACATTTAAAATTTTAAACATTTGAATGTCTTATTTATTTTTGGGTTGTTGCAGGAGCATTTTCACAATGGCGATGTTAAATTTGACAACGGCAGTGCGCCACTATGGCTCTTATGTATAAGAAACCCTGGTTATGCATCATAGCTTTTCTCAAACACCCTACATAATGTATATAAACTTTATCTCCTGGTAACTAGATCACATAGTTTGTGCTGCCATTTTCCAGGCGGATTGACAGATGCCAATGGGATACTAACAGTGCCATCTTATTTTGTCACTAAGCTCTTAACATTAAAATAGTGTTAGTTTAAACACAACGTCAAATACTCACGTGCACAATAACAAAATAAAAGATGCTATTAGTGTAACGTGAACTTAACTTCCGTGTAAATTACAAGAATACGATATATAGCTAAATGGCAATATGGCTTATGGCTTCGCAATGGCAAAAACCTGCAGGCGCTAATGCATGCTTATTAGTGACCCAATCATATTGATCCACTACCAGTATAATTCCATAGACTTGCACTGCGGACTTCAATGATCAGAGAAACCTGTGGTTATCGGTTGCTATAAGTTATTTTCCACGTAGGCTAAGATTGATATGAGCATGTATGTGTGTATTAACATGCTGTGAGTCACACGTCAACAAAATCTAAGTTACCAAAAAGGCACTGCCACTAAGATTCACAAGAACAGGCTTCTGCTGTTGTGAACTCTGAGGAAGGTATATATATTATATATATTGTATCAGGACTTAATAATGACAAATGTTGTTGTTTGTCATTATTAACTCCTGATTGTATGTATTACATATGTTCTCGAAAGCTCGGAAAACAAAACATTGACTATTTTTATAAACTATTTATTCGAAATTATTTTTATATTCACATATTTATATCTTAGTATATAGGTATATATATATATATATATATATATATATATATATAATATAAATAGTGAGTAAGTAAAAACACATACACCCATGCAAGATTTAATACTATATATATATATATAATATAGTATATATTATATATATAATATATATATATCTGCATGGGTGCTATGTGTTTTTACTTATTTTTATAATAACTAGCTGCGCGGTACCGCTGCCCGCTGTGGTAAATCGCTGCTACTAATTCGATACTACTATACTAATAATGGGACAACAGTAAGGCGAACATTGGTAATAACATTCGACAATGAATTGCACCCAATATCAATATTTAGGAAACGGTCTTTAATAAGATAATAAGCATGGGGAAAACTGTTACGTATGACATTTATATGAACAGCACAACCCAACTTAGAACACCTGAGACATATATTTAATAGTAAATTATCGGCTCATAGCGCGTCNTTTCGATTTCGGTTTCGGTTTCACAATACCAGCAGCTGATGAGATCATGAGGTGAGGGCAAGAAAATCAATAGTCATAGGCTGTGCTGACATTGTGTGAAGATTGCCGAATTGAGGGGTTTTTCACGGATTTTTCGGCAAGTTTGACGGTTTGACAGGTTTTTTTCAGCTACGAACACGCCCGGGGTATAAGAGATGGCCCTGTGAAAATTGCATCCAGATCGCTTGGGCGGTTTGACCGCCTATAGGGAAGATACATACATAGATACATACATAGATACATACATAGATACATACGAACTCAAATATATATTAGATTGATACACAAGTAGGAGGCTGATCTTATAACTCCAGCACGTTCATATATATATAAACCTACATGTATGCTATGCCATCCATTTTTGAATTTCAATTAATGTTCCTTCAAATAATAATTAAATACAAAATCCCTATTACATTACAGCTCTTCATTTAATCTAATCAGTGTAACACGAAAACGATGAAACATGTAAATAATCTTGTTACAGACATAATTAATGTGGCTTGACTATGGCCATGCAATTTAATGTATAGTTAGTAGTATTTTATATTAATTAGTAGGCCTATGTAAATTTAAATGAATCTATATGAGCATTACTGTTGCACATAGCCAGTGCCACAAAATATGATTAGAAAATCTCGAAATGAATATTAAAGTATCAAATTTACAATGCTAAGTGAAATGACACCACGCCAAAAAAAAACACAACATACATTTACATATCTGACTATAGCCAATTATTGCACCAAATAAATAAAAAAGCCATATTTATGCCACTATATATCAGCATTTCCTAATTCAATAGAATCACCTGCATTTGTTGATGGTCTGCCATCCCCAGCTTATCCTGAAATACATTATAGGGGGAGTTGCTCAACGTTTTTAAGCAAGATAAAAATATAGTGGATAATTTTATTTCAGATGCTGCAGATTTGTGTAAACTAGGCACAAAAAATTGGAGCCCTGTATCAACCGATAAGCAGCCAATTTTCTTTGTGCTTGGTGGATTGAAGCTATTTTATCACCACGACAAACATCAGATTTAGGCATGATAACGGGTTTTCTTTGTTATAATTTTATTTCTTGAACATGAAAAAAAGCACACAAGAAAACGTTTCTCTGCTTAAAATGTCTCCTGCTCACCCAATTATCACACAAGTGTTTGCCACTTGACTTGATTCATCAGCCTTGCAATGGATATCTGTCAAATGACAGGAAACCAGAGGTATTGGCCATATTAACTGAAGAGACTGACAATTTAAAAGAGATGATTCCAGGGTTTGTAGAAGAGTTTAAAAGTTTACTACATGCCGGCACAGATTAGCAGTTCACAGTGAGCTCCCCAGCTTAACGGCTCATTGTCACTAGGACATATAACAGCTAAGTGAGCTGTACCCTCCTGATTCACCCTGATAGCCACATGGATTAATAGCATTCCAAGGGTTACTCTGGGAAATTGAAAAGTGTAGATAAAAAATATCCAATTGACTTTTTTGTAGCCAATGTTAATAATTTGTAGCAATTTTTTGTCCACATAATTTCATTCTAAATTACCTACTTGAACAAAATACAGAGAATCAAAAAAGCATGCTGTACGCTGCCGATTACCCAGTTTGGTCACTTTTAGCCAAAAAATAGCCAGTCCAATATTTTTATAACCACTACAAAAAAGTGTAGCAATTGGCTATTTTGGCAAGTGGTAGAGTAACCCCTGGCATCCAATGAATTAAGAACTCATCCTGTTAAATTAAATAATCAACCTAATGATCATCGTGGTGAAAAAGGTGTGCAGTTTACACCCTGTCCCGCCTCTCACTCCTCCTGCACACCTGCATTACCAGACAGTGATATTATGCTGCACTGTCGCACATGCACATCAAGCTCACCTGATAGCTCTTTAGTCGGATGAAGTCGACTGCGATCGGCACGGAACCGGTCTCCGCTGAGCTGTTGAGCGCTTTAATGCAGTCGATGAGGTCAGCGAAGAACTTGTAACCACCCTTAAGAACACAGAGCGCCACCAGTGGACCTTTGCCGATGTCATGCCAGATATCTCGTGCCAGCCGCTCTGTCCTGCAGTACAGATAGCGCACACACTCAGGGAATGATTATGTATTTTACTGACATACACAACAATTAAAGTTATGCAATCAAGTCTCTTTTACCACAGCTCTACTGATAAAGAAATTTACAAGATACCAGATACTAATATGTCTGGATACAGTAGTCTCTAATAGAGGTGCGCAGTATTATCGGTATAATAATATACCATGTTTTATGGCCCATGTCAGTAAACACCGAGGTACTCTTTAGATGTACCTGTGTTTTGAACTGATGTTGAGCACATATAAATAAATTGAATCATATCATGTTTCTTTCACTTCTAGATGTTTGTATTGTCTTCATGAACAGACCTCCATTGTCCTACACGATTCACATTATCTTTGAGTGTCTCCAGAATGTTCTTATATGATATGTGCTGACAGTATTATAGACCTGTTCACTGTAGACTAGTCCCTGCCATCATCTCCACTCAGAAGTTCGCTATGCTAGACCCACAAGAAAAGAATGAAAGTAGGAACCCATAGCATGCTAAATAATACATTATTTTAATGAGAGTGAAATTATTGGATCTTACTAACTGTTCAATCCGTGTGTTTATATATTTTGATTTGTCAGTGTTTGTTGCATCATAACTACTGCTAGTGCTAGGTGATAGATGCTAGTCTAGTAACTTTTGTATTTAAAATGATGAAAGACTTTCCATCTAAACGCAATTGTAAACCCATTATGCTCTGATATACTATTATAGTATGCTGAGATGAGAGATATTAGTGGACCTTATGAACTATTCAACCTGTTATTTTTACATTTTGATTTATTGTTTGAAAAGTCACAAATCACGAGATGCTAGTGTAATGATTTTTTATTCCAAGGATAAAACTACTTTCCACCTGAACCCATGATGTGTTGATACAGTATGCTGGCATGAGTAAATATTAGTTTATTTTTTTAAACATTTAAACTGTTCAATAATTACTGCAAGGTGCAAGCCAATAATGATAGACATGCTAGTATGCCTATGCTATAATGACTTTTAGATCGTGATGCTTTGTTAGGTCATTAAAACCAGAAATAAAACAGTGTTCTGACTGATAAGTTGTCTTCTCCTGTTTCCCAAAATAGCACTATACCATGATATTACTGTGCTATTTAGGTAAGATATCAATTTATACCATGGTACAAAATTTTTGTTGTATCCAACTCTACTTTCTAATAAAATAACATTGTTAAGCCCGGCACACATTGCCAAACATTTTGCTCAAAAACATTATCGTAGCAATGTTCCATGAAATGTTCGGCAATGTGCGGTGAAAAAAGTCGCCGAACATTTGTTCCGAACAATGTTTCTGAAGATCGGAAATGTTTGATATCTCGAACATTGTTCGTTGAATGTTCGTCAATGTGCGCTGAATGTCGAACAATTCTAGGAACATTTGTAAAGTAGTAACCAATAGCAGCACGATATTTGGTCACATGATTTTTGTGCCCAATCATGCGCCGATTATGTGACTCTTTACAACACAGCTACTAGAGGGCACCACGAGGTTGTTCGCTGCAAAATGTTCGGCAATGTGCGCTCAGCAATTGTTCCCCCGCACATTGCCAGACAAAAACATTTGTTCGGGAAAATGTTCGGCAATGTGCGCCAGGCTTAACACTATTCCAACTAGTTTGTCATAAATCACATAGTTTAATAAAATTCACAATAAAACATTTAGCATTTAGAACACATTATTTCAATTTATAAATACAGGTCATCTATACAGATTTCTGCTAAAAACAATATACCTATCAGCAACTAGTCCAGCTGGTATGAGCACCTTCTCCAAGTCATCTTCATAATGCTTAGGAACAGAAAACAATTCTAGTGGATAACCTTCATAGCCATCAGGGATCTGCAATATCACAGATACAATATCCAAATAATGCACACAATCTCTACATTAGTTGCAATAAAGGCGACAAATTAAATATTTTTGCGTGATACTTGTATGGGTAATTAAGTAGACTTGCTTCATGATAAGCACATTTGACTGGGTGGAAAAATAATATAAATGGCAACATTTTTCTGCTATACAGTATTTCAATTTCTTATTTTTTAGGAATGCACCTACAATGGACATAGACGTAAAAATTACTTATAACATACTTGCACTTTAGTTCTTTAGATTTTAAACGTACCAGTGCCAATTTGAAGCGGATTTTGACCACAATATTTAGACATTCACCAAACCACAGATCTATTTATACTGTCCATGGAACAATCACAGTCGCTCTCCTACATCATCCACTTCCCCATCCATTTATATAAAACCTTCGTTATCTTCTCAGCATCCAAAATTTCTCTACCACTCGTCTCCCATTTTCTCGGAATCCGAACATGACTTAAATTTTAGGCAGTTTTTCCATTGGTAAATATGAAATTTGATGAATAAAATTCCTGATGTGCAATTTTGGTGCCGAAACTTGTGGCAGAAATTTTGCTTTCATACTCTGTGGCAATTGAGAAATACCCAAAGTACCATTTTTACACACAAAAAACTCAAAATTTGTGTTGTCACATAATTAGGGGATGAAAATTCATTAAATTTTTTGACTTGAGCATAGAGATACCTCTATCTATAAACAAAACATGTGACTGATTCGATCCATTGGTCAATAAACCTTTACTCTTCATTAGAGCAATACCTGTACAAAAGCTAGAGTGTATCCTTAAATTCTATATGTGATGCTTTCGTTATCACTATCAGGGTCCATACAGATAAGTCAAGACAAAATTCAAGGAGTTTTCCAGGACATTTCAAGGACAATTTTTATTTTTCAAGTACTAAAATTCTAGCTTATCTTAATAACATTCAGTGTTTTCAGACTTAGGACAGCTTGAAAAGATTCATTACATGGAATAGAGGACATGAAAACTTCTGATTCAGAAAAAACTGATTAACTGTGAAAGGTATTCATTATGAGGTTAAGGAGATTAAAAACATGCACATCTTTTAAACTTATACATATTTACATATTTATTGCTTTATATTTCTTATTTTATAAATTCCAGTAGTTTTGAGTACTTTTCCAGGGCAATAAAAACTTTTCCAGGACAATTCCAGTATAAAACACAATATTTTAAAATTCAAGGAGTCGTATCAAATTCCAGGACATTTCCATGCCCGTGCAGACCCTGGTTTAGGTTATTACAATGATAGCAAGCAATTCCACTTTCATACATCATTTTACTATGTGCTGTGATTATAGGGGCGGGACGATATGGGTAGCTCACGATATAAGATTTGTATAACGACACACCTTTCACGAAATGATGTATACAGGGTTCTCCCCAGGATGAAATTGAAACAGGGGGGAGGGGGAGGGGGAAGGGAGGGGGAGGGGGAAGGGGAGGGGAAAGGGAGAGGGGGGAGGGGGAAGGGAAACTAGAGGGGTCCGGGGCCTGGTCGAATCACTGGCAGCAAGAACAAGTCCGCACCTGCAGCTACAACACACGCATCTATTGACTATATATAACAACATTATAATATATAGTTATATATATAACTACTATAACAACTATAGCTACTATAACAACTATAACTACTATAACAACTATATATAACGTTGTTATATATAGTCAATAGACGCGTGTGTGCTGTAGCTGCAGGTGTGGACTTGTTCTTGCTGCCAGTGGGTCGAATGGAAATTCTTGCCGAGGTGGCCAGTAGCAGGAGCGCCTCCAAAGCTGACTCACTCAGCCTGTTCCTCATGTAACCATTCCCATTAAAAATAAATAAAAAAATTTTAATCGGGGCCGAAATAATTTAAACGTGGCGCAACGATTAAAACGGGGGGGGGGTCCCCAAACGGAGCGGCCGCGCCCGATTTGCGCAACGTAGGGAGAAGCCTGGTATTGCGATATTTCATTATGTGGATTTTATCACGAGTCATTTTATCCTGTGCACACAGAATCGATACCTGTCCCATGAATGGTCAAATTTATCGATACGTTAGCTTGAAGGATTACATAGTGATAGATACTCTTGGAGCCTCTTCATTCTTCCACAAGCAGAATTGCTAATATGACAGTATTGATGCAGGGTTAAACATTAACTTTTTATTTCACTAGACCATCGGGCTAGTAACTGAAGAAAACCACTAGCCCTGACCTAACTTTCACTAGCCCAGACCCAGATCATAGTTATGAAAAACTTTATTTAG